ACCATTAGACGGTGGTTCCCTCCACCGTCTCTTTTCCCTCGCAAAAGTTTTGCGAGGGAACGCAAAAGAAAAAAAATTCCCCATGTCCCCTGGGGGGCTCCGTAGTTTTGGGTTCATCATAAACAGGATGTTAAAATTAGATTTTTATTTCTAAAAAAGTATGAAAACATGAAACTCCTTGGATCTGTGAAAACAATCATTTCAAAATAAAATCATTTTCACTCTGGCAGAAAATGTTCAGGATGATAAAACATGAAAATAAAGTGAACAGGACATATTAACGTTTGTTTTTACGTAATCGCATTTTAATTGACAAAAAGCAATATTCCAAATCAGAAAATAAATTATTGAATAAACAGACATGTGAGTTTAATAACAAATATATTTATAGTTTTAATCTGATCTTCATCCAACTGATTGGCATTAGCTGCTACATGTTAGCACTGAGATGCTATTTTAGGCTAGCATAGCTTCACTATTAGGCTAGCTCCTCTTAGCACAACCTGAACACAACAATAATCGATTCCAGGATTCAATCAGATCGATTAGAAACAGAAATGACCCCCAGCAGACCAGAGAGAAGCGGCTTCGTTCTCGCTGCTGTTAGCGAATGTAGCTGTGCGTCAGATTTACGGCCGTACTAGAAACACAACACAAAGGTTCCACCTCGATCATCTGTACATAAAAACAGAAAATGGGATAAAATCCATGTCATTAATTGATTAAATGAAGTCCCAGTGTGGTGGTATTGTCTGTTTTACGGCCCAATGTTCAAACATGTCTTCAAATGTGAATTTACAATTTGATGCCTTGAAATTGAGTCTGTGTCTCTTTAAGAAGCTCCTCCATGATGCCGTTAACATTTCTTAAGTGTTGGACTGAAAAGAGATGAAATAATTTCTCAGATATTCTGTGAAAGAATCAAACCAGATCTGCTTTTAACGAGGGACAAACGTTACGGCCTGATGGAGAGCTACAACAGTCCAACACCAGTTGGATGCTTCAGGAATCATTACAGATATTATTCCAAATTCATCACTTTATCAGCAGGCCACAAAACAAACATTAAAGCTGCAGTATGTAACTTTTATAAAAATAAGTTTTTTACATATTTGTTAAAACTGTCTCCATGTTCAGACAGTGAAATATGAGACAAATAATCTGTAAAACAAAGGGATTCTTCCAGCTGCCATCTGCAGAACCAGGCGGTCAGAAACAGCCAATCAGAGCGAGGGGGCGGGGCTTAGCGCTGTCAATCACCCTCAATGCTTTTTCACATTAATTAGTCTATTCTGGATGATTTTTAAATAAGTTTGAGATTTTATCTGATCTTTATGAAGGTTCAGGTTCATTAAGGCGCCTGAGCAGGTCGTCATGTTTACTGAACCTGGTGACATTAATTTAAACTCATTGGCTCTTCAGGCAGTAAACGTTTCAACCTCAGAGGAATGGAGAGTCATTGTTTCAGTGTTTCATTGTTTCATTGTTTCAGTGTTTCATTGTTTCATTGTTTCAGTGTTTCAGTGTTCCAGTGTTTCATTGTTTCAGTGTTTCAGTGTTTCAGTGTTTCATTGTTTCATTGTTTCAGTGTTTCAGTGTTTCATTGTTTCAGTGTTTCGGCGTCGGGTCGGGTTGGTGCCACGTCGACATTTAGAAGGAGGAAGCTGGAGCTGAACCCACAACTTTCATTCTTATGTTTCTTGCTCAGAAGGAAGACCAAGACCTAAATATGAACATTTTAGTTAACATGTTATAACTAACATTTAAAGGTGTTATTAAAACCTGAACCTTCATTTGTTCTCAGAACTCTTGAATTTTCCGCCTGAATGCGAAAACGAACTGCTTCAGTAAATTGTGCAGAAAGTTTCTGTGAATTTGCATCAGTTCCCTTTTCAGCGGCGGTGAGTTCAGGGTGGATCTGGCAGTTTCAGAAGCAGCGGGTGTTGCTTGCAGCGCTGCAGCGATGCAGCAATGCATGAAGTTTCACTGCAGATCCGCTGACAGAATCACTTTGGAAAGTCAAAGTTAAAATGTTCCTAATGTTTGGTAATGTTAATTTTACCGAATTTAAAATGCAGCTGAACCGAAGGGATGACGGTTAGTTTTAGAGCTGATCTGATCAGTTTCATATATTTCATATTTTATCAGAGCTGAGCTGCTTCTAGCTTCATTTTGATCATTAAATGATTAATTCATCACTTTAATTCATCTGGAATCCAAACAGAAACATCACCGATAAGTTCAGCTTATCAAACTATCAGAGGTTTCAGCTGCAGCTGCAGGATGAATATTAAATATCTGTGTTTCAAACACCAAAAATTATAATTACAAAAAAAAGTAGAGCTGAACAAAAATAAAGATTCTCCATTCTGGATCCATCCAGACTTAAAGCTCAACAGCCACAAAGAGGCAGCTGCCGTTGGAAGGAAGAAATCATTCGAATCCCAAGATGTTAACTCAAATCAAACATCTCATGTTTAAGAACAATGGAATTATGTGTGCAGCATAAAACAATGAGAGAAAGGAGGTTAGATGAGGAGAGGCAGCCCTGCTTTGTACAGTCGGTAGTACTGAGAGCGAACTGAGCGGAGAGCAGGAGAGGCTGAACCGTCCAGCACGGTAGTTTGAAGTAAGGCCTCGTTTTTTTTTTTGGTTTTTTTTTTCTAGTAGGCCAACATGGTCTAATCAAAGTAAATATCACAAAACAACATTACAATCTCATGTTTTCCTAATATGAGCAGATCAACGTTGAAGAGCAGTTCGTTTTAACGAGACACCAGGACAGACCTGGAGTCTAACCTGACTTCCTCTGTTGCTGCTGAACACTGCTGCTCAGCTGGCTGAAAGGGCTGATGATCTGAGCTGCAGCACGAACAGTCAGGGTGAGGAAACTAAACCGACACGCCGATTAACCCTGTAAACTAGCAGCAGCACGTCTGTTGGGAAGCTAACGGCGTTAGCTCCACTAACTTACTGAAATCAGATTGCAGAGTTACTGAAACGAGCTGAACGGGAAAAAAAAAACCTAAAATGAAATGATAAACGTCACAGAGCGCGCTGATGCTTTGCTGTTCAAAATGAAAGTCATGATAAATAATTTAATTCCTGTTATGCTCATGTTTTTTCTGTCCTCCTGATTTCTTCTTTTATTGAATTAAATTCATTTAAACATGTTTGGTTTTATATATTTAGACATAAAAAGTATTTTTCTGTTTGTGGATCTGATGTCGTTTTGTTGGCTTTACAAACGGAGGCAGAAAATTTCTCAAGAAAAAAACTGAATGAAATGAAACGTAGATTTAAATGATCAGATGAAGTCAAACTGGTAAAACCAGGACAAGAATCAGCAAATAATGGATCATATAATAATCACTGATGAGCCAGAGAGGCCGTCGCTCAGAAAAACAACTTTTGTTCTCATTCTGGTGTTTTTTTCAGGGAGCCGTCTGCCGGGGGGCGGCAGCAGGTCAGGTTGACCTTCCTGAGGGGTTGAAGGTCACAGAGCTGCAGATGAAGGAGCCTCAGCAGGAGCTTCAGTCGTTTCTGTTTGCAGAAAACGTTCAAAGTGGTTCCTCTTTCCAGCCTGGAGCTCTTCTGCTTTTCTACAGTAACTCCAACATTCACAGTCCAGAAAAACTCAGAAAATCTGATTTTATTTTTTGATTGAGCATTAGATAAGTGTGTGTGTGTGTGTGTGTGTGTGTGTGTGTGTGTGTGTGTGTGTGTGTGTGTGTGTGTGTGTTTCTGCGCTCACACTTCCTCAGAGGAAACCGTCCTCTCTGCAGCTGCTTCGGACTGAAACCACTAAATAAGTTCAATAAACTCGAACCGTTTCGGTGTTTTCTCCTCATCACTGAAGCTTTTCAGAACAAACCGACCAGAAAACAGAAAAATATTCAACTTTTAATACGTTCACAAAGTTTTCTGTGGTTTTCTGGCTGAACTGCAGTTTTTTAAAAACTAGTTAGAGTTAATTAAATGATCGCTTTAAACATTTAATGACCCAGAAAGTTTTTGGCGGAGAGAAAAGGAAACAGGCTTGAATCGCTTTTAAATCGTTACTTCAGCAGCGAGAAACAGAGAAAGAGGAAGAGAGTCACCTGACTGCGAAAGGAGCCTCTCTGTGGTTCATGTTGTCAGTTTTTCAGCAGTTTTTACCTTTTCTCTTCTCTTCCTGCTGCTGAAGAGCCGCGGAGCTCCTAAACCCGGCAGACGGTCCCCGATGGGCGGCAGCGCGGCGGCATCATCCACGGCGGAGAAGAGCTGAAGATCCGCAGAGCAGAGGAAGGCTGGTGATGATGATGATGATGATGATGATGATGATGATGGTGATGATGATGATGATGATGATGATGATGATGGTGTCCCGGGGAGAAGATGGAGTCAGCCGCAGATGAAGGAGCGCAGTGTTTGAGACGCGCAGGCTGCATGAAGACAGCCGCTAAATAAATCAACTTCCGTCTGAAATGAAAATATAGATTCAGAAAAGATGGAGCTGCGGACTGACAGCGCAGCGCCCCCTGCTGGCCTCACCGCCACCTTATGACTGTTTATGGTTTAATATTTGCATTGGGGTTAATTTTCCGTTTAGCAAAAAATGTAATAAATCTGCATCATCAACAGGTTGCAGTTTAAGGTAAGCAATTACTTATTTAATCAGCAGTGGAAAAATTATGAAATGGAAAAATGATATGATGTTTGTGAGCAGACGCAGAGATCCCAGCATGCACCGGGAGAAAACGCAAACTGCATGAATGAAGATTTTAATGCTGCAAGGCAAAAATAAAACATCTGGATTTTATTCAAAACTCGATTCAGCAAAATGACAGAAAAGTTTTTCACAATTTAACCTCAATGGGAAACAAAATCAAAATGAAACGATGCTTTTTTAAGAGGTTTTTACAATTTAAGATCTTTAAAGTGTGGCGGGCATCTTTTGTAGAGACAAGTTTATCAGAAGCTACAGAGTCACCTGCAGAAACTTTTCCAACTTTATTATTATTGTAGATAATATTCAAACATCTCAAGTTAAAAATGGGGAATTATTTCTAATTAAAAGGTTTTGATAATTATCAAAACTTATCTGAATGTATCAGAACTTGTTTTATTGTTCAGATATTTTATTACTCAGAATGTCAATAAATCCTCATATTCACGCCTTAAAGGAGCTGCAGTTATTAAAGGTAATATTATAATATTATATTATTATTAGAGGGATGGTTCACATATTTAGTGGGAGAAATGTCAAGAAGTAAAAATTTACCTGCAAAGAACTAAAAATGAACAAAGTCTTTATAAACTTACATGTTTGCAGTAATTTCAGACGTGAGCTAAATGTTTATGAAGCTGTTGAGTCAGAAATGAACTTTATTTAATCTGGAAACTTTAATGTGATTCAGTAAAAACGAGGTTTTCTCTGGTCCAGAACCAAACAGCAGCATTTTGTTGCTGCGCTGCTGAAACCAGCAGACTAATGACTGAAACTGGAAATAATGAAAGATCAAACTTCCTGCACTGATCAGCTTCCCTCTGCGTAACAAACATTTGATTATCATAAAGGATTACATTGGAAAACATAAAAAGCTTTTATTCTCTGTTTTCTCTCTTCATTTAAAGTAAAAAATACTTTTGTTAAATCAATTATATTTCTGTTTCTCATTTATGGTTCTAATGATTGCAGTTTAAATGTGTTTGATTATCTAACAACATGCTGCTGGAAATATTATAAGATTATGAATATAATTAAAATATCTCTTATAATTTACTCAGATTAAAAAAACTCATCTAAAGGAACCTGGAGAAAAAGCAGCAACATTTAAAAGTTTTAAAAGCACCAGTAAAAACAGCTCATAAATAATATTTATTTATATTTATTGTTTCACTGTGGAGAAATTCAGGAGCAGAAAACTGAGATATTTAGATTCACATCATATAAAAATATAACAAAACAGAATCAGAAATAACATAAAATACTGTGCAGTTATCAAAAACAGAACAATCCAACCAATTAATATGAATAAATAATGTTCTTATGAAATGATTAATATAAGAATAAAAAAGATGTTACAACAAAAATATATTAATTGAAGGTAAAAACTACATAAAATTAAAGGTCATTTCAAAACTGTGTAATTAATTAATCATCAGCTGACAGTCAGAGCATTCAGTCCTCCTTACCAGCAGGGGGCGACAGCATAACATCACTTGTGTCCCATGCATGTGGCGACAGTGGAGAGGAAAACTTCCCTCCAACAGGAAGGAACCTCCAGTAGAACCAGAACCAGAACCGACCGGCGGTTTGAGAACCAGGAGAAGTTTTTATGTTCAGGAGATTTAAAGATTTGATATAATAATTTATTTTACTAATAAAGTTTTAAAATGTAAAATAAACAAAGAAGAAATGAATGTTTCAGACTCATATATATAATTTCATCTGAAAACTGGGAAAATAAAACGACTCAGTGGAATAAGTTGAGTTTCTCCCCAGAAAACATTTTAGCAATGAGTTGATTAAACCCAGCATGAATATAAAAATAACAGGAAAGAAGCAGAAATATTTACTGATTCTGGATCAAATGTATCAATCAGTTTGACTGGAGGAGCCGCTCAGATAAACGAGTTGGTCAGATTAACACGACATGAAATCTTCTCTCAGATGTTGGCTTTAAAATCTCTGCCAGTCTTTTTCTGCATTAATTGAAGGACTTTCAGCCTTTTTAAAACTTTAAATCAGAGAAAATGTTCCAGTCATAGAAAGAACCTGAGCTGCAGGCTGCAAGGCGGCTTCCAGGAAGGTGTGAGGCAGCGAGAGGCTGACCTGAATCTGCAAACCGCACACACACACACACACACACACGCACGCAGGCGCACACACACACACACACACGCACAACAGCTGCAGGTAGAAACACACATCCGCCTCACACCCTGTTACTCAACACTGCAACATTCTCTCTCACACACAGAGGAAGTGATGCAGGTGTTACTGCTAATGAGTTAACTCATAAAATCAGCCACTCTTCCTCCTCCTCCT